GNTGATGAGGGGTACGAAAGCATTGATCACGGGATGGAACGACTATTTCACCTGGAGATAAGATTTGAAATTCATCGGACCATATTGGATGGTATCAGGGGTAAGCATGGGCCAAGTATATTCAGCGAAAGCCATTGGAATCCATTGGAGGATGTTGGACACGACAGTGAGAGTGTTGAATTTCAATGAAACACAACAACAAGCACAATGGAAATCGCCGTATCTAATTCTAATCTCTGTTGTCATGTGACATATCTTGGTGTTCATCAACCTCTATCAATGTCCACCAATGTGCGTCGATATACACTAACTGGGAAAAAAGAATGTCTGGTCATTTTTTGGACAAAGTTGGTGCTGTAACACAAGAACCAAACATTTTCAGAACTAAGCTATGGTGTATGAGACATAGCTAAGGAGGTGTAGATTGTACATACCAAGTCTGGGGATGAATGAATGAAAACTCAGGATAAGGCAGAGCATTCACTGTGACAACTTCCAAAAATGGGATTTGACAAAATGGGAAATTCTGAATGACTGCAACCTACTGGAAGCAATTCACAATTTGAAGCAGAAATATTTTAAACACTCAATCTCCCTGCTATTGTCGTAAGCCCCATAAAGTCTCTGAGATATAAAATTCTATAGTCTCCCCAAAAAAGTGAATTTGAATTGATTCCCTCCTTGGACATTTGCAGTTGCAAATATTGCCCAGGATTGATAGGAGAAGGTATCTATTGTCATAGTATTGTACATATACATAACTATTACTGTTCCATGATCTGATTTGACCACATTGCCAGGAATAAAGCATTTAATGGCTAATAAAACTTCAAGAAACTGTGAAAATTAAGAGACATATAGTCAATATGGTTCCCAGAAACCCTGCTTCCAAGGGGTTACAGTTAATATGGGTGTTTTTAAATGTCCATGCCAAGTGCTTCTACCTATCTCTTGAGTTTTGGGCACAGATGCTTCTCAAATGGCCCACAAAGCTCACTGAAGCATGACAGAGAGATTTCCAAATCAGGCCTAGAAAGGTCTGGGGGTCTCAGATCCTTGTATGAATAGGACCTCTGTTTATTTCCTTGGGATAGTGTTCCTAGGTATGAGAAGTGCCTTGTGAAATATTTTCAGCCCCAATTCACCAAGAAAAATGTCAAGGATTGGTCCAAGACAATTGCTCTATGCAAAATGTACTTTTCTTGGGGACTATTCAAGTTATACNCAGTGTAAATTTATTTGCTATCATATTATACTTCAGGTGTTGTTTAAAGGACATCCTGAGTCTCCATGGATTAACTCAAAAGGGTGGTAGCATTTTTTCTTCTTGCAGAAAAGAAGGACCAATGTTGTAGATACTTGTTTACTTTCAGAAAAACTCTGGAAATTAACTTCTACAGACATCATGCAATGGTCATTTTAACATTTCTACCTACCTTTTGTATTATACACACTACAAACATTAATAAGGAGTCATTTTTCCTCATTCCAACAAATATATTGAGTGAAAAATACATAAAGTGGAGAACAAGTTCAAATTTACCTTTTAGGGGAGGATATAAATTTTCTAGCCCAAAGACTTTATGAAGCTCATAACAATAGCAGGGAGATCCAGTGTTCAAAATATCTCTTCCTCAAGTTGTGAATTGCTTTCAGTAGGTTGCAGTCATTCAGAATTTCCTATTTTGTCAAATCCCATTTTTGGAAGTTGTCACAGTGAATGCTCTGCCTTATCCTGAATTTTCATTCATTCATCCCCAGACTTGGTATGTACAATCTACACCTCCTTAGCTATGTCTCATACACCAGAGCTTAGTTCTGAAAATGTTTGGTTCTTGTGTTACAGCACCAACTTTGTCCAAAAAATGACCAGACATTCTTTTTTCCCAGTTAGTGTATGTTGTTGTCCATCGACGTACAACAAAGTCCAACATTGAACTTTCCAGCGGCCGGCATATAACTCGTTTGGGCGAGTAGGCGCTCAAGGGGGGTCCAGTCTTTTAAAAAATCCTATAGGGTTGAATTTTTTTTTAAGGCCTCAACGGCTGGACTAACTAACTAAGGGTGGGAATATATTTCCAAATATAGAAACATTACATCATCATATCTAGATTCAGCATTCCCTCAATCATCACCAGCAAGCTTGGGAGTCTGTCAATGCATGTGTATGACTCTGTCAACAACACAGCAGCTTTCAGACACGAGATTTGACATGATGGAGTCTGAGAGGGGGTGGGCAATATTGATGTAGGTGCTAGTCCCACCTGCCAGCCCAAGGTCAAGAATATAGTTTCTGGCCTTGCCCAAGGGGTATGCACCGGCAATTGCCGGCATATGGGGTAGGGAGGGGGGTGGTAGGTCGAGGCGCTTATCCGAATTTAAAAAATTGTCAACTATTTCGCCTTATGAGACTCCAGAAAGTTGTTGTATCTCAATCTATCTAGTTTTTATGAGTGTAGGGGCCAAATAGGGGCACAGAGAGCTGTTGGCTTCATATTTTGTCTGCATTTGGCACATCTGATGTCAGTGGCTGGGTCGGTTTTTTGAAAGAAACTTCACAAGAAGTTAGAAGCAGGAGCACGACCTCGTCACAAGTGTAATCTGACTATGGTTGCACAGGAAATCATGGCCAATTGGATTTGCGCAGATGAAGGATGCGAGACAGTAGTTGAGGACCAAGATTTGCTTTGTTGTGGTGCATGCAACCTTGTGGTAAGTCGTTGTATGCCGCTTTTATTCCAAAAAATACAGAATAAATACTAATATAATTACAGTATCACTTAACTTGTTGTGGTCTCATTGAAAGACCCATGGGTCTTGCAATGACGACTGCAAGGCAAATGCTGGAGGTAGGGTCCACACGCAAGTGTCAGTGTAGGGTGTGGATACTTGTTGTATTTGTTTTTAAACACGTGATTTATTTCCTTTTTAGGAAGGTTAGGGGAGGGGGGTGGTGTCTAAGAGTCCTTATCAAAATAAAACAATGCTGTGTACAGGGATTTTTTTCTGCGTACCCCTTGGCCTTGCCAAGGTCTGAGGCCTGACAAGTAATTTTTCAGCAGAGGCAGATGGCCCAGCGCTGCACTGTGGTTCCTCGCAGCATGAAAAACTGACCTGCTTTGGCCTGGGTTTTTGTGAGAGCTTCTCTTGCCACTTCTTTTGCTTATTCACCTTGCATGCTCGACTGGGTTTGTGTCTTTTGAAGTAGTTTGCAAGTCCTACTGAACCTCTCACAATGAGGACATTCCACAGTTCCAATGGATGCTGACGAGAGTGACTCGGACAACGACGAGTACCAACCACTCTCACCCGCCGAGGAATCAGAAGTTCACGAAGATGTCGCCTATTTCATATCAAGTAGAACTTCCTCGCAGGTCATAACCTCACCACTCTACGAAGGCAAAGACCCAATGGGTGAATATATGGCTGAGATGGACGAGGCAAACCGAATCGTAGTATCATCTGTCAAGCAGATCATCTCCACCCTCTCCTCTACCCTCTATGCACTCAGCATCCATTGGACAAAGGAGTTTAAATCGGGGGATTTGTCCATCCCCGACTTCATCCCCTCCTCCACAAGCCTCCCATGCCTCACAGAACTCTACCTCTGCATAAACCTCCGCTCGTACACGTGGGATTCAGGTAGCCGATACCTATACCTCTGCCCCGAATCAATATTTTTTGAAGGAAATCTTTTGCTAGAGAAATTTAACGCACTGACCTTTCCAGCACTACGACGCTTGAGGTTCACGGGTTCGGCCTGGTCAGTTTATGAAGGCCCATACGACACGGTCAAGCGGATGCCACTAAATCTAACACACATCCGCACAAAGACACACATAATGGGGTGCGCACCCGCTTTAACACTCTTTCAGCAACATACATACTCACCTCCTACAAATCATGCCGATTATTCAGTAGCACCTTTGGCAGGACGGACAAGAGTCGACACACACACACAGAAATGAGACACGACACACGCGATGGAGAACGACACACCTGTCCAACGTTCAACACATTTGATGGCAAATGTCGGTCACTTGTTCAGGAAGGTGTGTCGAATCTTATCCGCATGATACCATACTATCTCGATTGATTCCGCCCTTTTTGGATTGTCAGAAAATGAAATTTTGATGTGTGACGGAAATTAGCTATGTATCATACACCAAAGATTCTGTGGTTAAGTCGAAATCTGCCTCTCCATGTTCAAGTAAAATTTAGGATTATAAGTTTTATTCCTTAAACTACTTACTATACAAAGTTATACATAAATTTTAAGAGAGGGAGCAACCTCGCGACCCCGGAATGAACCCACCAAGAATCCTCAATGTCAACGGCCTAGTGTTGGCGCATCTGGGTGTCAGTATGTGGTTCCGGCGGTTGTGGTCGAGTGGGACGCAGAGGTGGCCTCGTCGCAAAGGGTGCTGGCGTTTTCGCCGTCATTCGGGGTTAGTTAGTGGGGAGGTGCGGGGTACACACCTGGCTGCACGGTGGGTGCCCCTGTTGGTTCGCCAAGTGGCGCTGGATCCTCGTCGATGGGCCTCAGCGCTGGATTCTGTCTGTGGGGGTATTTTCGTGGGCCGATTCCGTCAGCGTGGGTGCTTTATCCTGGGTGCTGGGTTGTTGCCGTCATGGGTAGATGGGCGGTTATGTGGGTTTTCGGGCGGTTTTGTGAGCGTTTTCATGGGCGGTTAGTCGTAATCCGAGGGTTTCGTTTGCGAGGGGGGGTTTAAATGGGGGCGGTGGTCGCGTTTGCCGTGGCACAGGGTGTGGGAGGTGATGGTGGTGGGTCGTTAGCAAAAATTCGGGGCTGAACAGAGTGGAAACTCACCTGAAGGGACCCGTGACCGTTCTCTTGGTCCTTTTCAGCCATAGCAAGGGTGCGAGACGCGCAGGAAGAGAGCGAGGGGGTGGTGGGGCACAGGCAAGCAAATGGCAGTGGTGGTGATGAGAAAGCGGTCGTGACAGGATCATCACGCTCGTAATTTGTCGCGGAGATTCAAATTTATGCACGACACACCCGAAAATGAAGAACGACAGATTGTTACCTGGTGTGTCGCTTCTCACATGATGTGTCGTACTCCTCATCTGTGTGTGTGTGTCTCCTCTTGTATATCCTCCACCTTTGGCCCACTCACTGTTCCGACGATGTTGATCGAGTTCCCTGACTGGACTCCTGTGCGCGGAGACGACGTAGAATCTCTAATGCCAGTGAACCACTCGGCCTACGATTATGTCAGGAATCTAGGTTACGATTCACACCATCTGATAGTCATTTGCATGCGCAATCCAGAAGCGTACGACGCGGACCGCTGGGAGGCTCACTGGGCAGCAGGTCTTCGAGGCGAAGCTGGGCATTGGCCGGAACCCGAGGATCTCATTTTGTCCGTGCGTGAGTGACGGCCACTCTACGATTTTTTAGGCAGAATGGGAAAGAAAGAGAGAGGGGGTCTGATAGAAAGGTGGATGTTAATATTGGACTGGCCTTTTGCTAACAAGTATTCTAAACGGCCGTTTGAGCCGCGTTAACGTTCATCTAGCAGTGATCGCTTCGTTTCTGAAAGGGTTCCTGGGGCGTTACTGCGCCGACTTCGAAGTGGGCTTCAGATACTTAAGATGCATATAGGTATTAGGCGCATATGTAGCTGCAGATGGAAAATTGACTTGTACGTTGTTTGTCGGATGGGCGACGAAAAGGTCCATACTTACTGTCATGGAGAAGATACTTGTAGCAGTATTTGTTGATGTGGCCGTGTGGAAATGGCATCGCGTCTGACTACGATAACGCGACATCAGGAGATTGCAGGTTCGACCCCTGTCTCGGTCAATTGTCTGGAACCTGGATGGATTTTTTGCGACCGCCCAACGTCAGGCATCGTCGTCGTCCATGGCGTACAGCAGTCTTGTACACCTGATACACCCAAGAAAGTAATCCCGGAGATGTTCTGTTGTGAGGCTGGACACGGAGAAGCACAGGTTGTGCCCGTACGGTTTAAAAAATACACTGTCACTGTCTTTATGATGCAGCGGGGCCTCAGCTAGACTCGGACCAGTCCCGAGCCAGTTTTGTCTCGGTCTATTGAACGACTGTCTTCAATAATTTACTCAAAGGGATTGGCTCGAGTCTAGGCCTCAGCAGCTTCGACCTTCAGTAAATTTCTGGCCTCTCGTGCCGTACATTACATTTTGACCGATTTACAACAGAACTTCTTGAATCCGCTTTCAATATTCAATATTCTTGAGCTACCCTATCTTCTTGTTCTTGTCCGGATCCCTACCAGCCCCTAAACGACCACCATTTCTTTGACTTCTTGCTGCTCGTAGACATTTCCTGACTTGCATCCACAAGATCTTGCGCAACCCCCGCCAGGATCTCCTGTCTAGAATCCTTCTTTTCCTCGCCTTCAGCCACCTTTTCAAACATCCACCACCCCGAGACCGGCCTCACCGTGTTCCTCTTCCCTTTCGCATCCGCAAGGATCTCACTCCCAAATAGTCCCGCGATCAACATGCACTGGAGCTCTTCCCCATTATCGTCCAGGAGAACGTCCACGCCCGTGCATCCTGCTGGGATCTCGTCCGTGTCGACGAGGTGATAGTGCGTGCCGGATAATATTAGGGTTGGTTCGCGTTGGCTCCAAACCTTCGACACTTCAGTGTAGGTGTCAAAAAAATCAGATGCGGACAGGGAGGTAGGGTCTGGTCCTTCCAATGACGTCGCCTATAAAAAAAACGTGAATATAAATTTGAGTAAGGACGAAGGAGCGTACCTCTACAACCCCTTCTTTGAACCTGTGCCCAAGCCACTTTCCGTCCTCATCAAATGCGCAGAACGCTGTCACCCATCCGCCAAGATAAGTTGGGCCGCTCCCGCCCCCGTCATAATGGCACACCTTCCCCCAAAACTCCTTATTCTCCTTACTTGTAGGGTTATCAAACGCCGCCACGAGCTGCGCCAATACAGGGCGTAGCAAATGATACCAGGCTATCGCCTCCACCCCATATTCCTTCAATTTTTCGAGCCTGCGCAAGATATCTTCCCAGTCGTCCTTCTCACCTTCCAGCGTAACGCTCGGCAGTCCGCACATAAGGCAGACCTTGTAGTCAAAATACTTCTTCATGCTCGACATCATGATAACCGACGCAACAATCGTATCCGTCGTCGTCGTCGTGCTGAATGTTGGGAGGATCCAAGCGCGTAACGCAGGATCAACAACGTTCTTCTCCAACTCACGTGTCATGTTGTGTGCCATGGCGCCAAAATCGACAGTAAAACGGTTCCCCGCTGCTGTGACGACAAGCTGCTTCTTCCCTTCATGCGCAACGAACTGAGATCGGAGCATCTCACTCCGCCCGTTGACGAAGAAGTTGAATTGGATGAGGATGGCGGTCCAGATGTCATCGGGGCGGAGGCGGAGGTGTCTGTGATTGTTGTACGCTTCGACTATGGTGTGTACGAGGCCGTTTCCTTTGGGGATTGTGTTGTGCGATCCGAGAGGGAGAGAAGATTGGAGAAGAGAAGAGCAGAGGCGCGATTGATGTGGACAGGCGGAGGTGAGGAGGGAGGATGGGGAGAGTGGAGTAGAAGCGATTGTTGGAGAGAAGGATTCGGCGGCCAGAGACGTGGGTGAAAAGGTTATGGGCATGCTGAAGGTGCTGAACTGACTTCATGGACATCATGATAACAACTTGAACTTGAACGCTGTGAACGTTGCTCATGTGACTTGCTCAAATGACCACGTAGAAATCATCACTGTACGATAAAAATTGGAACTCATAAAAACATCGCGAATGCCGCTAGTACTCAGAATCCCTCCCAACCCCCATCCAAACCTAGACGACGACGGAAGTAGTAATAATCATAATGGTGTAGGATATTATTTCCATGAACCGTAAAATTCAGAAGCCGTTCTGTGCAAAAACATGAAATCAGTAAGCTTTAAAATACAGAGCGTGTAGCAACTCACGAATAATTTAACCAGGGAGAATGCGCGTACTCAAGCGATGACACAATAAGCATTGTTTCCCGAACCACCACCCTCGTAGTTGGTGGGGATGGAATCGGTGGAGGTAGAGATGGTAGAGAAAGAATCCATTTGTGAAGTTGTGGGTAGTTGCGAAAGGTGTGTTTGCGACTGGAGAATTAAGATGAGGCGTCGAGTCGTTTTATACCTGAACGTCCACGGGTCTGGACTCAAGTTCGACGCTTTGACCTGTGTTTTTGGCAAAAGACTTTTAATTGTCCTTTGGGTGGCGTAAGAGGTGACCGTCGGTTTAATTGTGATTTAAGCTCTAGGAGTGAAGCACCTTGGCAGACCAAGTGACATTGAGAGCACTTGTGTGGACACATCCGAAGACCAGAAGGGCTACAAAATGTCGCCAAGGGTTATAGGAGTGAACTCTCCGATAATTTTATTGTCGACTCGGTGGGACTTGTTGTTCTTCGACAGCAACGGTCTCGGAAAACAAGACGCCAAAAAGTCAGACACGAACTTGGAGGCCCAGAAACAATCGCCAACTTAGATTACTTGTAGACATACGCGTAAGTGGTCAGTGTGTCCAAGGGGGTCGCTTGAAAAGACAAAGAAAACAAAAGCCTACAATCTGCCATAGCCGTAAAGACAAGATGTCAAGTAATTTGACAAGCATAGACCCAAACTGCAGTGTTGGTAGCCGAGAGCAGATATATGGATAAGCACTGTACAGTGGGTCCATACTGCGTTGGGGGCATGATTGCGAGAATCGACTTGTAGAAAACAAAAGTGTTTGACCTGCAGAGACGTTCAACACAAAAGAAGGAAGTGGGTGCCATAAAATGTTCATTTCCGGATTGACGTGCGTCGTGCCTTCCTTGGGCCGCATGTGCTTTGCCTCCGCTTTGCGACCCAGCCTGAGCTATGTCCAAGGTCACTACTTACGCTCCACAGCAGGGCCTGAAATCATCATTATTGGCACCCGTCAATACACCGCCTCCTCCGAGCCCGCACCTTGATCAAAACCAGTCATGCTCGTGAGAGAGCCTCGTTAATCACTACACTTTGTGCGCTCTGAATTTACAGCTTGTGAGCAAAGTCTGATAGAGGCAAAAGTGGGACAAAGATTTACATTGCGATCTGACGGAATCTGGCCTAAGTATTTCCAAAATATCAACAAATCAACCCAGACGGTCAGGGACCGGAATCCGTTGCGCGCTTGGAGAAACTCTCATCAGAGCGCGCAAAGAGCCTTCCTGTCGACATGCATTCGCTTTCAAAGCAATGGGGTGCGGCGCAGGCATGTTTTTCCTTGCTGCTACAAACGAATTTTGCAAACGTCGAGAATGCGTCCTTTATGATTATGGACCACTTACCCGATGAGCTTCTCTCACTGGTCACACGCGACTCTAACCTCTCTAGCTAGCTATGCCCGCTGTTCTCCGTTGAGTAACATCCTTTGCGGGGGACGCTCGTTGCTTGACATCAATCGACGTTGACGTGCCTTCCCGCCTAACTCGGACCCTCAATCACCATTCCTGGCGTTTATTAGCTGAGTGTCGAGTTGGACTTTGGATGAGCTGTACACATGCGGAGACGGACTCGTTCGACGGGACGGGGGCATAGTACGTTGCACGATACTGTTGGGACGTGGTTACCTTCGTGACAAGAGATGATGGAGACATTCTACCATTATCTAGCCAGTTCTCCGCTTGCACTCATTCGGGTGATGGATGCCATCCCGACTCGACATGGAGAGCAGATTTGCAAGGAAACGTTCTACTGGTAGACGCAGAATGAAAATGAGACCTAGACTCCTGAAAAGAATGCGTCATTTTTGAAAGTACTAACCTTGCATTGAACGAGGAGAATTAAAATTAAAAAATTTCATACCGTAGTCGCCCAGGTGAACGTTGAGACGGAGACTTGGATATTACTGGCCCAAGCTGGAGTGCGTATGAGACCTAAGCTTGATAGTGCGGTGTAAGAAATGGAGTGGGAACGCAAGAAGGCGCACAGAGGCGCAATGAGTATGTGCAACGCAACGTGCAGGCGGATAGGTCAGAAGGGGCGGGATTCCGGGAATTTCCATCATAGAAAAAGAAACTTCCCACGACCCATCTTTCAAATCAAGCTCATCGTGCCATTAATCTTCCATGTCAACTCCCGAACTCCCCACAGAACTATGGTCATACATCTTCTCCTTCTCCTGCATGGACGACGGCAGAACCGGATGTGCTCTCCAACGCGTATCTAGGCAATTTCGAGAGTTATCTAAGCATTCCAGGCTCACCTCTGTCTGTCTTTATCGATCGAAGGATATTCTTAGGTTCGAAGCCGTGATTGACCGACTTCCACCTAATGAGAGACGGGTTCGATACCTTCATATCACGTCGCCCCATTTGTTTTTGGACGTTTCGGAGGATGACGATGATGGGGATTATAGGGAATGCGATTTGTCAAGCTTGGACATTGATACCGATAATGACGATAGGCCCTCCGAGGGAAGTCTAGACGAGAACCTGGAAATAGATTCTGACAATAGCGACTCGGATGGAGGCGAATACCAACTGCTCTCAATCGTCGAGCAGGAAGAAGTCCACAACGATATCACATACCTCGAAGCTCCTCCAATTTCTGAGGAGTACTCCGCAGCGCCAGTCCACGAAGGCAAAGACTCCATGGCAGAGTATAAATTAGAGATGGATCAAGCAAACAGCATTATCTTGGCCGCAGTCAACAACATCATCTCCACCCACTCTTCCACCCTCTATGCACTGAGTATCCACTGGACAAAAGAGTTCAGCTCGGGATATCTCTCTATCCCAGATTTCATCCCGCCCTCCCTCAACCTCCCCTGCCTTACCGAGCTATATCTCTGTCTCAACCTCCGTTCATACACGAACGACCCCACTCGCGACACATACCCCGAGTCTATGTTTTACGGGGGAAATTACCAGAAGAAGTTCAACGATCTGGATTTGCCAGCCTTACGACGGTTGAGATTAGCGGGGTTGGCGTGGCCCTATGGTCGTCCGTACGACGTAATCAGGCGGATAGCACCAGATATAACACACATTCACACAAAGCCAGACCTGATGGGGTGCATATCCAATACGTTCACTTGCTCAGCTAGATAGCTACTCACCCCTTATCATCCAGAGCCTACAGCGGCGACTTCAGCTCAATCACATTCCCAATGAAGCTTTTCATCGAGCTCCCAGACGAGACGTTGCCGGACAGAGACGAGGAGAATGTAGAATCTCTCATCACTGACCCCGAGAAGGTTGGGCGTGTTGGATACCATCAGTACGTGACGGCCACAATCGGGATGTGCATTCCAGAAGGGTACGATGCTGACTGCTGGGAGGCTCATTGGGCAGCAGGTCTTCGAGGTGAATCTGGTCATTGGCCAGAACCTGGGGATCTCATTTTGTCCTCGGCGCTTGCGTGAGTGACAATCACTCTACGAGTTTGAGGTATGTGGTCGGCATTGTACACTTTGACTGGGGTACCGTTGTTGCCCATAGCCATTTACGCAAAGGGAGTGGTCGAGTAGGCACCGTATTGCGAACATAATGTAAATGACAGCGATTGGGTGGCGCTTGGTGTCGTCGGGACTCGGACCCGGACCAAGGGGTGCTCATCGGAAAAAATTGGAAACAAATGTCGTAAATAAACCAAACGGATTGCATCTTCTACATAATTTCCCGATCCCCCCCGACTTCATTCTCTGTCAGATGCAGGTTCATCTCATCGATTTGCGAATTGAGGAATCTATGGAACTTCTAGAGAATTATTATAACATTTCCAATGTTAATACAGCCTCACAAACCTCGTCCTGCTCAACTATTCCACCTCCATAATAGAGTGAGACAATCAATAATTTACTGCATCAACTACTAGTATCACAGTACAATAAATTGAAACTCATCAAGATATGTCTCCTACCACCGCCGCATACGTAACCCAAATTTCATGATCAGCGATCCATCTCAGATGCACGATCAGAAATTTTGGCCAATTTTGGCCACCCGTAAAGGCTAAGATACCCCACGTCGGTCACTTCTTGCCAGTGGCAACTTGTTGGCAGACTTCTGTCTGTAGCGATTAATTCAATACCTTGGAAACATTTTTTGAACATTGGAATATTTGAAAACATGAATTTATGTACACGGGGAATAACATTTTGGGGATCAAAATGTTGTAAAAATGGGGAGCGGTTTGCTTTGTGAAACGAGAACACATAGATGGCGGGAGCTGTTTTTCAGATGTGTGAGTTAATTTTTTGAAGCGAATCCGAGACGATTGGAACCTCCGCAAGTAAAGTCGGCATAATTGGTGCAAGCCATATTACACTGCGAATTCGGAACGGAATTGGCATTGATGATCGTTTGAGTTAGGTTTCCACACCCTGGAAACTTTTAGTACCAAATGAAAAAAAAGGTATCATTGCGGCACTCACAGCATTCTTGACTAAATTCGAATCCAGCAAACACCCACCCATCCGCACTGCATCTATCCATGCAAAGAAACGGTGTCATTTCTTCCGGTCCGATTGGATTACTTGGCTGATAAGGCAATATACGTTGTCCACCAGATCTGGTTTCGATCAGGTAAACTGTGTTTGACACGAAGGCCGAAAGATACCTACAGATATGCCTCGTCACTAAACCACATTTAGCTGTCGGTGAAGTGAAACGGATTGAACGGATTATACGTACGAGAGGCAGCCCCTATAGTTCCAAGTCCCGTTGTACGGGAAGTTGAATGGCGCAGGTGGTCCAACGCTAATGGATCTGGTGGGAAAAACGTATTCGTTGAGGGCGTTGGAGCCTCCGCAAACTTGTGCTGGGTTGCCGGCACAAGGAAAGTTGCATGCGCTAGATGACGGAAATATTGGAGGGCGGCCATACATATCGGCGTTTCCACACCCTAGAGAAGGACAAGTAGGAGGCTTACATGCATGACCGTCCAGAATCAAGAAGGAATCTGTCGCTTACAGCACTCAGATCCGAATTCAAGGCCTGCAAGAGAGAATCCCCCAGCATCACAAGCATTCAGGCATCGCTCAACCGTCATAAAATCCGACCGTTCTTGAAGATGATGTAGCGAACGTAAAGTGGGAATATCCCTAAGACTCTAAGATCAACACCAAAATTAGCGAGGCGAGGAGAAACATACGGAAGACAGATGAAGTCTCCCCGAAAACTGGACTCCCATTGACCAAAGGAACCAACCTCCTGAGCGATGACGGGGGGCCTGATGGAGTACTCCAACATATCGTTAACCCCGCCACAAACTACAGATGTATTGCCTGGACAGGATGTTGAACACGAGCTATTGCTGACGGCGATGTTTCCGGGCTTTATGACATTGCCGCACCCTGTCAAATTGCACAACCGATAAGGAGTATGTAAGTGGAAATATGTCAAACATACAGCACTGGGACCCCGCTACGAGCCCCGCCCTGATGTAGCCGGCCGAAATGCAGCTGTCGATGCATGTCTCAACGGTCATGTCCGCACTCGTGCCCAGCTCGAAAGATAATGTCGTGGGCCTAATGTCTGAATCGACATCAATCCGAGCATGTGATAAATGCGATACGAACGTGAAGCATCCGTCCACGGCAAAGTTCTTGTAGGTGGAGAGGACGGCGGGCCCATCTCGGGCTCCCAGGGAAGTCGACAAAACCTATCAAAGGTCGTCAGCTCAGCTTACGGCGGACGAAATATGCATATTGACTCTGGTGAGGAGAAAAGATAATGAGAGAGTTGCAAGAAACATACTCGATAACTTTACCGAGACGTTTGCGAAAAGGTCCTTTTAAGTCTTTTTTTGGGGGGGAATAATGTGGGTTGAAGAACATGGTAGAGTGCATGGGTTCAAGCGAGCCTGATGGTGCGCTGACGTCGGGAATCGAGAAAATTCTATATCGACATCTGTTCGATGTGATGCTTCGTTGAGGCGGGCCTGACGAAGGCGAAGGCTTGCCATTCAAATTCAAAATACCCCGCGAATTGAATCAGAATTTCCAGGGTTATTTTGGGTATGAACACCTTTCATCACGACCCCGTCAGGTTGGTCGACATCCTTTCACTTCATATGTCAAGAATGTGCCAGGCTGTTTGGGAGTAAACACGGGTATCAAACAAAAAAGATGAACCCAAATACACGACTCTCTCAGCGGTCAAAAGTGGCCGTTGCACCCCTGAACTGCCCTTGAGCTTGGTGGAAATGGAATTACTCGGAATAAAAATTCGTGGACACTCAATTTTGATAAGAAGAACAAGGTTAGAGTCCGTTGAACGATGCCGAGTCCCATGGCATTCCGTCCCATTAGATCTCGAGCATTGTGACTGAAGCTTTGAATGGTGGGATTTGTATATCGGACATCAATGAGCTGCCGATTCAGCTTCACTGACAGCGCTGCAAAAGAGACGCTAGAATTTAAGTTGAAGCAGCTCTCAGTCGAAAACAACGACAATTACACAAATACAATCATACCAGGCGCCGCTGATTAAGTTAAGGGTGTTGCATGCCTCGCCGCGCTCTCCGCTGCACGAACTGCTGCTCCAAGATCAAGGTGGAAAAATGGGGTATCCAATGGCACCACCGGCTCCAATTCCACAGTTCCCGACTGACGTTTTTTCCCATCCCCCGTCGCCTCCAAATCATCTTTACTAGACTGGCTTGAGAGTCGGCTTTTGTGGTATGGAATAACGGGGGCGACTTCCGGCGTAGCCCAAGGATTTGGAATACCTAATCCAAACCCACCCGCCACGAGCGCGCGTCTAATCCAAGGTGACATGATAGGTGCGAAGTGGAACTTGGGTAAGGTCGTTAGTTTTGCGAATGGGAGCTAGAGTGGGACGGACCTCTATGGGGTGATCTGCCCACTTTTCAACTTCGGTGCGGACATCGATGAGCACTTGGACGGCAGTAGTATCTATGTGAGATCTGCAACAAGGTCAGGAAAATGGTACAATGAAGTGAATCAGGATCATACACTGCAGAAAAGTCGAAGACTACGGCGTGTAGAATGGGTTTTTTCAAATTTGCCCTCTGTTCGCTCTCGTAATCGCCTGGACGCCTGGGACCTGGATCATTCCAAGGACGGTCACCAAGTTTGACGTTAGACATGTCCTTCCCACGTCTGAGGTTCGCCTTGACGTAGTCCACAATTGCAGTGTAGACGATGTGAGAGTTAGGGTATACATAGCTCTCCTCGAATTTATAAATGAGCACTCCAGGCGAAGGAGCTTCGACCTTGACGTATGGGTTCGTGATACCGTCTTTGGTGAGCGGCAAATATACGTCTCGATCAACAGTTGACCCAGAAGAAGGCCGGACGGCGGCTTTTCCAAGGAATGCCCCTCGAGGGCGCGCGACGCGAAGTAAGAGCAACGCGAGGGAAGCTGAAATGGACGTGTAAATTCCGTTTTCAATGGATGAGAAGATGGTGACGAGGACCGCCGCTACCCAAATGCAGAACTCCAGCGGTGATACGCGCCAGTAGGAATAAACCTGAAATCACGAGAATGAGTAAGTGTCTTGAGCCTGAGATGATGATCAAGTCCGACCTGTGCAGGAGAAGCTACAAGATCAGCGACCGCGTGAATGATGATAGCGGACAAGGCTGCAGTTGGAATCCAAAAGAACGCAGAGGTAAGGCCATACAAAGCAACGATGACGACGATGGCGGTGTATACACCAGCCAACGGCGTACGAACACCCGACTTGGACTTGAGCGCGGAGCGAGAGAAAGACCCAGTCGCTGGATAAGCGCCAAAGCAAGATCCAATCGTATTTGTAACACCGATCGCAATCAGCTCTTGGTTTGGATTGATTTTGTAACCATTTATCCGCCCGAAAGCTGTGGAGATAAATGAGCGCTTTTCCCATAAGGCACCACGACCTCCTCACATTTCGAGATGGCGATGTGCTCCAAGAAGAGAATGATCGTCGCGACGGGAAGCTTGGGTCCTAATGCTGAAATGAGTTTGCGAGTGATGGTTGGCTGCTTCACCGCTTTGAAGCCAGAAGGAACTGTCAATAAGATCTTGATGGGATAATTCCCATGCACTTTTCTGTGCCGGCAGTACAGCCAAGCGGCCAGCGTCAAGATAAGCATCACGAAAGCGTTCCGAAACACACTGATGAAGAAGAAAATGCGCGCTGGAAATACGTCAAGTTGTCAGCGCGGTGGATGTAGTGCGCCGGGAAGGCATACCGCGATGTGGGAACCGCCGTTCGAGCTTGAGACAGGTGTAGCGGATGGCATATAGCGCGACTAAACCGGTCAGTCCCCAGGCTGCATCAAGCTTCGTGCGAGGTAGTCCCTTGAGAGTGTTGATGATAACTCGGTACGTAGCTGCACGAGTACTTGTTTCATCAAAAGCTGTCAAATAAAAATAGCGTGAAAGTAGAATATTTTGCTCACTCGAACCCGGTGATACCCATCAGACCAGGAACTTGGCCAGCAGCAATGTTGATCGCGGAACCAGTCATGAAGCCACTGACAGCGGGCGCGGAGATAAATTCAACGAGCCAACCGAGTCTGAGGAGGCCAATTCCCAAGACAATGAATCCGCAAATGAAGGCCAGCGCTGTGGCGATTTCCGGCCCTGTGAATTTCTCACTCGCATGGTGGGTCTGTACATCTTTAATGACTTGAGCCACAGTGAGAGACATGACGGCGACCGGCCCGATCGAGACATCTTTCGAAGTGGCGAAGAACTATTCGGAGCAGTCAGGAGATGGTAAGAGAAAGAAGAGCAAACGTACACAGTATATGAGAACACCAACGAACGAGGAGTATAGGCCATATTGAGGAGGCAGGGTTGCGAGCTGACGAGGCGGCGATGAGAAGGGTATAATGCGTGCTGGTATGCACATATCACGTACTTGGGCATACGACATTCCCTGCGGTACGACAACTATACCCACCGTCAACCCCGCTATCAAGTCACCAGTAAGCCATCCTAAATCTGTGGACAGAATACGGGCGTGAAAGCGAAGCCAGGAAGAACGTGGAGAAGGACAAACTGTAGCGAGTAATCCAACCAAGGATTGGAAACAAGCTCAAGAGGTAACCTTTGACCTATGGCTGATTAGCAAACAGAATCAAATGGGGTGGTATACATACACGTTTAGTAGGGTTCGAGAACAACGGCCTGAGCCACTCCGTAACGGAAACTACAGCGACGGTCTCCTCTGGGTAGTCGATGATTCGCTTCCCTAAGCGCTTGACTGAGGAAAGAGACATAGCTGCTGTAAGGGAAACACAATGCGGGTTTGATTGCTTCTCGCGGGTAGCTTTTGTGGAGGGGAACTTGCGGCATCACTGATGGATAAATTTAGAGCAAAAGCATTCCCTGAATGCAATGCTCGACGAGCTGTTGCTAATTTCAGAAAATGGCGGAACTTGCCGCCGCTCCGACTCCAAAGGCCATACCGTGTACCTCCGTGCTATGCGAGTTCTTGGGAGAAGGAAAAAATGCAAGGGGGTTTCGGAAAGTAGAATAAAACTTCTGGGGGCGTTCTATCTCTGGTTTCGCTTGAGGTGGGCTCCGAATAACACGCGTATAGATTCCCAAAAATAATCGTTCAGTAGGAGAAGCAAAAAAACCCGACTGGTGAGGGGTCGAAAATATCAGTCAGTATCAGCGATGTGAGCACATTCTGTGATATCGTACCTTTATGAACAGAACCTTGACAAATCATGCCCCTTCCGATTACCATATGCGCAAATCTCACTCCCTTGCCATCACTCCTGCTCATGTGAGGGCTGCCTTCCGCTCGGTCTGGAATGCTTAGAATTGAATGAGTTGACTGATTTGATCGATTCAATGGGTGCGCTGTTTTCGCGGATCTATAATCTCGTAGATGCTACAGGTAGCCGAGTGAGCGAGGGATAGACCAAAAATCCATTGTAAAGGCTCACTCGTCCCGTGGAGTGAAGAGTGCAAGATCTTGGCCAACAAGAGGCGTCTGCGCGTGGCGAGACTATTCCAGACTCAGGAAGCTTTGTGAGCTAGGCCGTCATCGTTTGAGTTAACATGCTGACGGCAGACTCAAAGGCAGGAGGTGATTGCGTCCTTAAGACTACAGGCCGTGGGGGAGTCGCGTGGAGTGATAGACTGTTACATGACCAGGTGACGGCTGTGACATCACGTGAGCGCTAGTTGCCGTCACCTGGCAATGGCATCACCTCTTTTGCACCTCTTTCACGGCTGTGATACTTAACCTGAAGGTCCTGATCAACGGTTTCGTCACGGTAGGCGGACCAAGTTTTACAAATTTGAGGACTTGAAGCTTGCAGGAGCGACGATCAATTGTTTATATTGAAATAAAATATTGAGCGGGTTCTTGAACTAGCTGCCTCCCCAGATGAAAATCCTGAGCCTGCAGGAGAAGTTAATCAGAACCAGTCCTAGAACAGTCCTGCTGTGCCCCGATGTCGCTTCAAAGATCAACTTGATACCTGATCGTAAGTATCATACAGGAGACTGAGTGAGAGCAAAGTGAGCGCTCTGAGAAATTAGGACTTTCAAACCTGTGACTTCTGACTCTGAAAGAATACGAACATAGTTCACCTTCGTTCGTTTCATATCCTCCATTCTCCCAACGCAACGATTGAACGGGTATATTGACAGAAAGTCATGGTGAAGGACGTCTTCAAGTTGGGTTCATATTTCAGATTTAGTTGGAAAGAACCAAGATCAATCCGGCACGGCGGAATCGCTGGGATGGACCTTGAAGGTTATTCAAATCGAAAAAGCGCGCGTAGACGGTAGCAATAGCAATATCCTTAAAGAGAAGCCGAAGCGGGGACGGATCCGTAGCGCATTGGTAGCGCACTGTCTGTTGGCCAGTGCCAGACTCGGAGGAGCGTGACTGAATACTGAGTCCTCCTACGTCCGCAAGTTCAAACCACTACCAATCCTCCAGCATATATTTTTACGGCATTTTGACCCCTCTATCACAACCGTAGAACGCCATGGGCATCGGTTTCTTTGAACTTGCGATTTTTGCCTTAGAAGTTAGTTTCGCACGAAACCGCCTGTTGGTTGCTTCAAAAGTATCAATAAATCATGTCATGAGTGAGAAATACGGCCTCACCATCTGCTCGTGCCATCCCAGACTCATATCATGATCTAAGTACTAACTATCCTCACTAGTGCTATGATTCGTAGGACGGTGAAAAAGAATGGACACATTGGGAATTGAACCCAACACCTCTCGCAGATTACCATAGATTTCGCTGGTGCTAAGCGAGCGTGATAACCAACTACACCATGTGCCCTTATTTATTTTCGTTGCAAGATGTTACATGATACAAAAGGGCTTACAGGTCTGCATAGACGCGACAACAAATTTACCAAGCTAGTTGTTGGGACACTGGCTATGTCATACACGCGGTTATGTGCTGGCTCCCCCTTGCCTCTTCGATTTCCCCGTCAGTTGCGAGGGCCTGAGCAAACGTTCCAGCCTCTACAAGGGAGCTGTATAGGTTGTTGACTCGTTCTTCTTTGTTTTGTCACAATTCCCATAGAAGGAGTCTTATTTTATGAGGTAATCCAATCAAATTTCGGCTACTACGCGATGGGTAGTTCAGCTTCCGGGATCTACACACCACGAAAACGGGGTTTAGGTCGCTCATGGTATCATAACCTAGGCTCTACAGACTTGACGTTTTGAGGTTTTCGAAGGCGCGTCAAGTGGCGCGATGCACCCCATTTTGTCATGGCAGAAATTTAAAAGAGGCTCCGTCCCTTCTCAATTTCAAAATTAGTGTTACGACCATTGATAAAAACGCGAGGAGGGTCGCACCTCTCTCTCAATTTCTTCTGAGATGAGCCGCAAGTTATCCGTCCTGTTGATAATATCTCGAATTCCGCTGATAACCTCTTGCCCAGTTGGCCATCCATGCACGAGAGAAAATCAGTAGTGTTCGGATACAACGGCGGCAGTCTTTGGGTCGAAACAAAAGTTTGAAAAGACGTTAATCAACATCACTATGTCATGAGGATTCGACGAACCAAGCATATCCTTCCGGCAAAACGCCAGCCTTCCTGACTTCAACATGAATAGTCTGGTGTAATGGAGGTATCTCGCAGAGTGATTGGAGTCTTGGAGATTGGGTTACGGGATGATCTTTGAGGTTCAGTCGCCATGTCCAAAGAGTTTACTGTAGCGGTGAAACGTTGGCTCGCTTGGAGTCACACTATTGGAAGGGTTGCAGAGCAAGCAGAATCGATGTTGCGTGAGTTATCTGTACAAAAATAAAATAGACATGTTGCAACGATTGCGGGGTCCTCCACTCAAATTCTTTGACTCAAAGAGAGTAAAAGATTTCGACCTCAACTCTCCGAACGTGGTTCACCCATCCGGGATACTGGAAAAAAAGACCGGTAAGCTTCTCGAAATTCAGCGTTAAAAGGCGAAGACTTGCCCTCGCCCTCGCAATCACAGCAATTTTATCGCCAGGCTGAAGTAACCGCACGAACCCCCTACCATCGCCACTCCCAGTCTCTCCCCAAGAGTTCACCGTCCAGTCCTCCACGTCCGTCCAAACAACCTCGTGGAAGGCTTCTTTCGCCGAAGCACGTATATTACTCTGCAAATGCCATACTTTCGAAGTGTCAGGATTTAAATCATCCTGGTGAGTCGCGGGTACCGATAAATTTGAAGATTCTGGGCGATGGACCAAAAATGGTTGTTCTTCGCCCCGCCATATCGCAGCCTCAAACCACGTCCACGATCCCTCATAGTTACCTATACAGATATAGATTAGGTACCACCAGGGTAATGAGTATCGCTGAAATCCAGACCTACTAATCCATCATCGCCTCCCCATCCTTGATCATGGCTCCAAATCCTGAACACCACCTTCCTCACCTTCCGCACCACTTTGAGATTGGAGTCACTCCATTCAGGTATAGGTCGGTCAGTTACGAGGTAGAATTGATACGCATCGTTGAGCACGCCACCCGAGCCGCTCGTCGAGTTGATTGTGATAGGTGGATTGGCCTCTCTGCAAGACGCAAGTCGTGGCCAATATTGAGCATAGTCAACGATGAGGTCCGCCAGCTCAACTGGAACAAAGTTCATCATTGTTTGTTGGACATGCAACACCTCGTTCTCTGAAGAAGGATGGTACTGGTCAGGGTGAAGTTCTGTTTCGGATTCGTCATTGTAATAATTCTTGACCAAGTTTGAGTATCCGGCTCCCATAGCTGTGAACTGTAATCAGTCATGCAGAGACTGGGAGAAGCGTGAAGAAGCATCGCACAGATTTTGTTATCCTAATGCACGAAGGGCCGCTACGTCAGTAGACTGTAGTGGTAGAGGACACTGGCAAAAGCAATCGTAACGCAACAAGTCAAACAATGTATCACGTGTAATCACCCTTCTACGCCGACTTCTGCCGCCGTAAACGCCTCATGGGAGACGAGCACGAGTCATGACAGGCTAGAACCGAAGCCTCGACTCATTTAAGATGAGGCTTGTGAAAGGTCAACAACCCCATCGATTACCCTCCCCACTACCCAGTTCGAGGAAAACAAAGCCCTGACCCCTCACGGTGGCAGACCATGCAGAAACATTTCAAACTATCACGAAGTACACTCCGGGAGTTGTTAGCTGCAAAGGAACGGGATCGAATTTCTTTGCAGACCGACCTCATGCAGGCGATGTCAATAATGAACCAACTCTCTTCCCCACTCAACGATCCGAATGTAGTCGAGAGCAGGCGTCGAGCAGCTGTGAAAACAGTGAGAATTTTAGAGAAAGAAGGGCTTCCCTGCGCCATTTTCGGAAGCATGGCGTGCAAGTTGTACGGTAATGAACGGGGTCCCTACGTATGTCTCAATTTCGGTCTTTTGAACCTCATGGTGACTGATAATCACAGGACGTTGATATTCTGGTCCTCCCACCTCCATCCCGGCACGATGTGACACTGAGTGATATAAAAAATATCATCATCGCCGCTTCGCCTGAAGAATTCGGATATCTCGGGCCATCGTCAAATGACATTGACGCCCGTCGTCCTTTGTATTTTCAAGCGAAGATCAGAATCGATGTTGTGCTGCCAGGCATGATGAATTTGCCGGCGCTCCTTCCAGCGCAGATTAAATGGACGACTGGGTCCGAAAGCACACGCTTACCAGTACTCCCGTTTGATCTTTTATTGTTCCAGAAACTTCAGGCATGGGATGACCACCGTAATGCGCGAGGCGGAAAGTTTAGCCACCGAATCTCAAATGATGTCAAGGATATACAGTGGATGTTACGCGAGGGCGTGCCAAAGTATATGAAAGATTGGAAAGTCGTTGGACACGACAAATGGAACAACAGGTCGTTATTCTCGGAGGGATTTGAAAGATTGACGAAAGAGAGGGTGACAGCGTTTTGTGCAGATTATTGGTATGATAAGCCCCTGTGGAGGGCGATAGGCTTTCGAACTTCGCGGGTATGAAAAATGATCAAGGGACCCTTCGCACATGTATGTCCTTTGTTCGATTACTTCCGCATCCATTCATATTCGAATTTCAATAGAACCTCAAGAGGGTACTTTGCACATGTCTGAATAGGTGCTCGTTTCATTTTGTTTCTTAGCGATGATAGTTACAATTGATTGATATATCGACGTGCTGCATACATTCTTATGTAGGATCCACTCAAGCGATGTACATATAACATATCTACTCTTTGGACTATAATAACCCTGTACAATTTATGCCCTTGTCCGAGCTGCGTACAACTTCACATTCTAAACGCACGGATAGTAGTTGCGGAAGTTTCCTGGAAGGAAGGTCATCAACTTACGACTTCATAAAAGCTTTCCCACACTCAATATGCCGCGAAATTTAGCTCAGCATCGGGAATCTGCGTGACAAGATATCTTCAAGGTGTCCCAAGAGTCTGGCTCCTGGCCGCCATGATAAATGATGAATTGTAACGTGTGCAACATCGCGAATGGGGTGGTAGTTATTGCGCTGATTAGCCCTCCGGTGTCGCCAGGCTCTTCAACTTTCGATATAATATAATATAAGTTTTAAATAGGTTGGGCTAGCTCAAGCACTCACTCATAACGGGAGTGTGAAATTGCTTGCAGCACTGAGAATAACTTTTGCCACCTCAGTTCCCGCGCCTCCTCGGATGTCTATATCAGGATCTTCCAGTGTCTTGAGGTAAGGAACAGCGCTGCTATGCAATAGCGTTGGAATATAAGTGTTGTATATGTCGAAACTGAGGGAACGGACTCGGAGGTGTGTCATTGTAATAATTTCTGACCAAGCTTGAGCCTTATCGGGCTCCCATAGCTGTAATCAGCAATCAGTCATGAGGGAACCGGGAGAAGAATGAAGAAGGGTCACACAGATTCTGCTATCCTGATGCACAAAGGGATTCCGCTACGTCACTTGGAAAAGCAACTTTCGCATGGCAATGAACCATCAATGCATCACGTGTTACAGTAATCACGCTTTTACGCCGACCGCCGTGAACGCCTCATGACAAACGACAGCTACTTAGAACCGAAGCCTCGAGCTCATTTAAGATGAGGCTCGTGAACAACGTCAACAAAACACACCCATGGATTACCCTCCCCACTGCCCAGTTCGAAAAAATAAAGCCCTAACCCCTCACGGTGGCAGACCATGCCACTAAGTGCCAACCAACGGGCCGAAGCCAATCAAATCATAGCCGCAATGAAGCAGTATCCAACCTCTCCCCTCCCCGGCCTCATGAGGGGGATCTCAATAGTGGATCAAATCTTTTCCCCGTTCAACGATCCGAAAGAAATTGAGAACAGGCGTCGAGCAGCTGTGAAGACAATGAGGATTTTAGAGAAAGAAGGGCTTCCCTGTGCCATTTTCGGAAGCATGGCGTGCAAGTTGTACGGTAATGAACGGGGTCCCCACGTATGTCTTGATTTCGGTTTTTTCAACCTCATTGTGATTGATACTTACAGGACGTTGATATTCTGGTCCTCCCACCTCCATCCCGGCACGATTTGACACTGAATGATATAAAAAATATCATTATCGCCGCTTCGCCTGAAGAATTCGGATTTTTAGGGCCGTCGTCAAACCGCACTGACACCCGTCCTCTGTATCTTCAGGCAAAGATCAGAATCGATATTGCGCTACCGGGCATGATGAATTTGCCGGCACTCTCTCCAGCGCAGATTACATGGATGACTGGGACCGGAAGCACACCCTTACCAGTACTCCCTTTTGATCTTTTATTGTTCCAGAAACTTCAGGCATGGGATGACCACCGTAATGCACCAGACGGAAAGTTTAGCCGCCGAGTCTCACAGGATGTCGATGATATACTGTGGATGTTGCGCGAGGGGGTGCATCAGGAAAACTCCAACCGTGTGGCTGGTCTGGAGCCAGACCGGCCAGACGCTTCCAGACCATCAGAATATGAGTGGCGACATACAGTGTTTTGCACTGCCGTCTGCACAACGAAGTCTCGAAAAACATATTTGTATGTATTAGGGGGTTTCACAGTAGGCCAACTTAGGTCCCAACTTTCATTCCAACTTGTGGGCCAACTTCAACAAAGTTGAAAGGGAAGTTGGCCAACTTTACCGTGAAACACCTTGAACTGCAGAAAACATGAACTTGGGCTGATTTGGGCTCGGAAGGGATTCCGAATGCAGATTTCTGCCTATTTTGGACACGTGGGAAGTTGCGAGGTGAAGTTGGGCACCAAGTTGGGATCAAAGTTGGCTGCAAATCGGCGTCGGGACCACGATTTGCATCCCAACTTGATGAAGTTGGTCAAACTTTGTCCTTCCAACTTGGCAAAAGTTGCTCACCAAGTTGGGGATTAAGTTGGGACCTAAGTTGGCCTACTGTGAAACCCCCTATTGTGCCGTGACCTCCACAAATCGGGAAGTAACACGCCGCTGACCATTTCCTCATGCTGCGCAATCACACGGCTGTCAAAAACCATTCTTCATCGATAGCGTCCTCCTCTCCATTCACCTCTGCGTCTTGGCTGTGTCTGCTACCATGTCCTCGTCCATCTCGCACCCCCTGCATTTCTTGTTCTCCGTGGACGAAGTCTGAGCTACTTTGAGGATGCGCTACCCGCTCAGGGCGCAAAGCTGAATTTTGTGGGGCCTTGTAAGTTGTTCATTCAGTACGCCGTAATCTTCTCAGCAACATATTCAGTAGGCTATGATCTCTTCCAATTTGAGAATGCCGAACTCCACTGACCTCATCTGCAGGGGAATTGAATACGGAGCATACCAACGGTGTTTCAACAACTTTTCGCACCGTCTGCAAATACTGTCTTCAAATCTTGTATAAAAGGTGAGTATTCTTTTGAAAGATTTCTCAGTGCCCATTATGTTGAACCGCTCTCTCTCAGACCAATTCCTTCAACCACCCTTCACTCAGCCTACTATCAGCGAGCCTCGCGAAACCCAGCATGTCAACACCGATACCGCCATTGGAGATGTGCGAAGGCCGTCGGCAGGCTGGCTCAGGAATCCTGCCTGGATTGGTACGCTCATCAGATGTTACTACAAGATAATTCTCATTCCTCGATGCAGACGGCGGTGTGAATCCACCTAAATATTATTTTTCGCATGAAGAGATTGATGCAGCGTGCCGCGCCTCTGGAGTAGAACCACCTCCTCGATACACTCAACCTGAGATTCCAGTTGCCCCATCTCAGCCGATCACAACAGCTGGTCCATGTCCTATCCGTCCTTTCTTTCAAATCATGCTAATAAACTTGACAGGAGTACCTCTTGCTACCCAGTATGATATACTTTCCTCAAGGGTTTCTCCGACGCCAGTCCCAGCAAATAACCATTACCGTGCAGCAGGACCATTGGGAAATACTGTCGGAAATGAACCTTGTGTGCCTGGTACATGTATTCATTGACTCTTACAGTCTTTATCTCATTTGTATCTCAGCTGTGCCTCTACCTGATGGGCATCTCATCAACGTAACACACACGTACACCTCAATGGAACTGACTACTGGTTCCTCCCAAAATGGGAAACCTGCTGCTCCAAAGAAGAAGGCAACGACATTGCTTGGGAATATCGCTCTTGAAGGCATTACACGTGTAGACTTTATCAAGGCATTCCTCTCCATTCACAACCTTCACACCCAGTTTGCCCCCGGTGTCCACTCTGGTCCTCCGTTCAAGCTCTCATGGACCAGCTCTATGATTATTTACTATCATTTATATCCTGATCAAGTTCTGCAGTGGCGGGAAAGGCAATGCGCCGACCTTCTTGACAGACAAAAGCTTCAGCCTCGCCCTGGCAGCCATTTACAAGAAGGATAAGAAGAAGATCCAGATCACTCTTGAGTTTGACACAGACATGATGTCAGGCTATCGAATTCAACATCTGGTGTGTTTGTTTTTGCTGCATCAATGTTCTTATGCTCATGTCGACATATAGGCTCCTTCATTGAATGTGCCTGCGAATGATGGTGAGGACGAGCTTCTTTATGGCACCAGGGTAAGCTTTCTCTTTCCAGGCCTTCAATTTGACAACTTCGATGCCTGTAGATTCCACAACTCGCCCAATTCAACAATGCTGAGCAAATTAATGGATGATTCATCTTGGAGATCAAGAAATGGTGGCCATGTGCTTCTCATCAAGGAGAGCATGGTGAACCAGGCCATTGTTTTATCACAGTCTCGGGAGGACATCTGTGGCTCAACCCCCTCCGTCTTAAGATGTGGGCTGCTGCTATGGTACATCTAAGTCTTATAACATACATCCAAAGCCTAAATATCTTTTGTAGGCATCCGGCGACGTTACAAAGCATGAACTGCCATGCACTGAGGCCTTTGATGGTCCACGCGATGGACAGATTTCTTCCATCTGAGCATGTGGCCGCTCAGGTGCAAGCACAGTGCCGACGGTCTCTGCTCCAGGCAACAATGACATGATGACACTTGTCATGGCGTCTCTCATTCCCGTCCTCGGTGGCTTATCTCATAAACGATCCCGTTCTGAATCCCCAGGCCGATATTCGCCTCCCCTTCCCAAGCGCTCTCGTTTTGAGTTCCAGACACCCATTTGCAACCAGCCCAACGTCCTAACCCCAAAGTGCCCTTGCCGTGAATTCCAGACACCAAGGCCACTGGAGTTTCATCAACCTCCTGCCTCCCCCGTCTCCGTCCCAGCTCCTGGTTTTGAGCTGCGAGTGTGCCTTCGAGAGTTCGCTGAGCTTGAGGCTGTCGACATGACGCCATTTGAGTGTGGTCATCTTATGAAACTAAAACTTTTTTGTAGGAAATGGCAGGCTACGTATGAACAGAAGCTTTTTTCTGGTAACTACACTACTTATGAGCTTCAGTAAACTACTTTGCTACTGGTTTATCTCGTCAGAAAATGAATAACCACAGTTTGCTATCCATCCAATTGCCATCTCGTCTGTTATTGCTAACCTGGCTTGATGAATCAACCAAGGCCGGCCCTCAGGTGCCAAAGCTTGAGCTTCATGATGTCGCAGCCAGGCTTTGATACTGTGGAAAGCCTCTTCAATTGGGTTGTAGTCAGGGGAGTATGGTGGTTAGTGTTTGAAAGTCTGGTTAGGTTAGGTTATTGGGTGCCCAGGGGCTCTAACCGAGACCGAGACCGGTTAGGGTTCGTTCCCAGACCCAAAATAACCTAACTGGACCGAAGATAACCGATGAAAACCAGTTAGTTGCAGTTACTAACCAGTTAGGACCGAAAAAATAGAAAATCGATTAAAACGGCGTATATTTCTCATATTCCTTGCAGTAAACATTATTGCCATGCATCGTAGCTTTAAAACAAGCCCAAGAACGCTAAATTCGGTGAAGAATTGACAATTTTATAATAATATTCTTGAAAGCCTACTATTTTAGCCAATAATTTAGAGATTTGACCATAACTCTGTCAGATTTTTAGCGTTTCTCATGCTTTTAGATGCGTTTTGAAGGGGTATAATAGGGTCGGTTGTAACCGGTCATAACCGGTTTTTTAACGGTTAGTTAACTGCAAAATAACCGGTTATTTCATTTCCAGAATTGACTAACCACTAACTGCGGTCCGGTTTTTTTGCGGTTAGGTCCGGTCTGGTCTTGGTTATTTTCCAGTTAATTAACCTAACTTCCAAGCACTAATGGTGGTAGATAGATAAGTTTTGCGCCTGTAATTGAATCAGGCACAAAGGGCAAATAAACGTGTTGATAAACATACCACATTCAACTTCGATAAGGTGCCGGATGTCCTCATATTGGTGAATCACACAGTTATCCATGATAACCACACTTTGGGGACCAGGGTATGGATTTAATTTCGGAGCCTACAACAAAAATGAGTTGTGAAGCTGGTGACAGTATAACATAGAAAGTCTTACAACTTGTTCGTTTAAAAATGTAAGGAAACACTCTTTATTCACTGAACCCTCGAAGATATCAAGAGCAATCATACCCTCGCAAGTGAGAGCAGGTAAGACTGAATACCGCTGACCACGAACAAAGGCAGATCGGCAAACACATGCTCTACCCATTGCAGCCCAACCCATGGTACGCTGGTTTGTGTGATCATCCATGCTCGCTTCATCCAACCAAACACAATATTTGGCTGGAATATCAGCATATGCGGCCTGCCATGTTGCACGCAACAGTTCATTCCTTTCTAACACTTCATTCGCTACATGCTTGCATGTCATTGACAGCCGATGAAGTGCACAGGAGAGGGTTGAAATAGAAACAAAGACATCTCGCCTATTCAGAAGTTCATCTTGAATTTCGTCTAGGTAGATCTTTGGCCGCACGTCAATCAAAGACGATATATAATTCATATCCCCCATGTTTAAAGAACGGTTGGCACCATGCGGCCCGTGTGTCGATGGATCTCTGAGAGTGTTGTAGTCACGGTGGTAAGAGAGGATGACATAGACTGTCCGGACACTACATCCAACAAGGCCAGCAATCTCCGGCACTGAGAGATGTTGCTCATCATGCCAGACAATGATCCGCACGCGCATCTCGTCCGATACCTGAGGCGCCATGAGAGTTGGGTTTGAGAGACTCAAAAATCCCATTGCGCTCAGATCTGGTCCTGATGCGTGACAATCTAGCAGGGTCTGTCACGAACATACAAAACCAAACATGTTTTCTCAAGACTTCGTTGTGCAGACGGCAGTGCAAAACACTGTAATACCCTCCCGATGCCACAAAACTTTATTGTCTCATAATTACATTCTGACTTCAGAACGGCATTTGTGGGAGAATAAACAGATCTGGCAATAGGTGATCAGACAGGTCAGACCGTTCAGAAGTTTTCTTCCACATCAATTTTTAGCAGCAGCAGGCAATAGAACAGTTGTTACAAGAGTGCTCGGATTACAGAGATGTGGTTCTACTACATGACTCATAAAAGATGAAGAATGGTAGGTAATGCTATACATGAATCAATGGAGATGAGGGTCCCCTGTTCAGTTTCAGGGGGGAGCAGTCCGTCGTCATGGTCTTCGCATCGTCATTGTCGTCCGCCATCGTAGTCCGTCGTCGCCGCCACCACGTCCCGTTGTCATCGTCCGTCCGTCTCCATCGTCATCGTCGTTTCGCGTCGTGATTACCAAATGTTGCAGAGGGCGAGGTGATGACGTGGAAGTGGTTAGCGGATCGTTGGGGTAGTCCGTCATCGCCACCACGTCACGTTGTCATCGTCCGTCACGTTGTCGTCGTCCGTCCGTCTTCATCGTCGTGTCGCGTCGTGATTACCAAATGTTGCAGAGGGCGAGGTGATGACGTGGAAGTGGTTAGCGGATCGTTGGGGTAGTCCGTCATCGCCGCCACGTCACATTGTCGTTGTCCGTCCGTCTCCATCGTCGTGTCGCGTCGTGATCACCAAATGTTGCAGAGGGCGAGGTGGTGACGTGGCAGTGGTTGGCGGGTCGTTGGGGTAGTCTGCTGAGCGGGTTGGGGTTATTAGAAAGGAGAAAGAGGGGGTTGGTGGAATTTACGACATGATGTGCTCACCTGGAGGGGGCCGTTGACGTGCCACGTCGTCTTCTCCACGTGTTGTCGACACGATAAGCGATTATTCAGCTGGTACCGCTGGTGACGTGGCATTGGCACGTTGCTGCCATCGTGGTTGCTGTGTGCCGAGGTGGGTGTGGGCGGTTGACAATGGTAGTGGGTGGTGGCGGCCGTGGAGAGGCTGTGGCAGGGGCAGGTCGTCGTGGAGGACGTGGACGTGTTTGTTTTGTTGCTGAGCCTCTGGCGCATGATGTCGATGTGCGGGCCTAAATGTCGTTTAGCCCATCATGGGCGCTCACGATGTGAGGCGGTGGTCATGTAGAATGGTGATGGGGATGCTGGTGGTGGGAGGATGAGAGTGTTTGTTGTGTTTGGTTACGAGTTGAACATTGAACCTCTCATCGAGGTGTCAGAGTTTCAACAGACTTGAACAAAATGAATGGGTTGTAGTTCTGGTGAGGTTCAGATTCTGAAAGAATATCAAATACTGAAAAAAACTGACTACTTCAAATTTATGATGAAAGAATGGGAAGATAATATTTATGACAGAAAACTTGCCACACCTGTCAGACGTATCAGATGCACCAGACCTTCCACACGCGAAGAGTTTTCCTGATGCTGCCAAAGTATATGAAAGATTGGAAAGTCGTTGGACACGACAAATGGAACAACAGGTTGTTATTCTCGGAGAGATTTGAAAGATTGACGAAAGAGAGGGTGGCAGCGTTTTGTGCAGGTAGGTATTGGTATGTCACACCTCAGTGGAAGGCGATAGGCTTTGCTGTTTGAATCTGGCGCATATGAAAGATACCCTTTGCACCTGTACGTCACTTTGTTCGATTATTTCCGCTTCCATACATAGCTCCATGTAAGTATAAGATATGTAGGCTTCACTCAAGCGATGTAAGATATCTACTCTTTGGACTATAACCATGTACAATTTATGCCCTTGTCCGAGCTGCGTACAAGTTCACATCAAATGCACCGATGGCTTTTTCAGTAGTTGGGGAAGTTTTCTGGAAGGAAGATCATCAAACAACTCCATAAAAGCTTCCCCACACTCAATATGCCACAAAACTTGACTCAGCATCAGGAATCCGTGTGAGAAGATATTGTCAAGGTGTCCCAAGAGTCTCCCATATTGCCAAGGCAGCACAGTAATAGAACAGATATTTCCACCTTATCAAGGGTGTTGTTTTTGGCAAAGGTTTCCCACATGGGTCACACTCTGCCCTCCATGATAAATGAAGATGGTGAATTGTAATGTGCACGATGTCCAGAATTTTGCAAAGTCTACCCACACGATGACTGGGTTCAATGCCCTGACAGAGAGGTGTTAGATTTCAGAGATCTGGATGTAATTTTTCATTGAGCTTTATTTCTCTTTTTTCAATCCTATTGCAGATATTTTTGCTCAGGTGGAGAGAACAGCAGGCTACCTTGAATGCCAACAGGACCCAATTTTATTATTTTCTTAGCTTTGTAGAATATGTAGTGTATCAAGAATGATCTCCAGATAGACATTGCTTTGAGCAAGCCAAGCCTGTTTTCTGAAAAACATACTCTTGTATGTAGGAGCATCATGGTGTGCTGTTGGTATTGTATGTTGAGTAGTACATGAGCCAATGACCTATTGAGCCTCTCTGGTGCAATGGCTAGCACATCTATTATTCAGTGCAATGGAGTACACATTATACTTACACAAGAACTGGGTTCAAGTCCCAGACAGAGGCTTGCGTGAAGTTCGTATGTTTTTTTATATTTGAGCACCAAGTGTCCATCAATACTTACAAGCTTCTGTTGCTGCATTGTCTAGCATACACATACAAGACTTTTTGGTTTGTTGTTGTCTTCAACATTATGTATAATGTTACAACTCAGTTCAAATCTCAGAACAGAGAGATGATGTAACAGCTGGATTCATTTTTGCTCAATTAGTGTTGTATGGGTTTTATATTGCATGTTTGTACTAGTCAGCAGACTCATTGATTCAAATCTTTTGTATAGGTTGGTGTTGAATTTCAAATTGATTCAGCATCAGAGTTTTTCTGCCCAGTGGAGGGCTTGTTCAGCCATAATTTACACATTTGAATATGCTTCTACTCTGTGAAGCTCTTCATTGGTCCAATGGCTAGCACACATGATGACCAGTAGCTGTAGGCTGTGGATACATGATAACTGGGTTCAATTCCCAGATGAAGAGTTGCACATCAGTTGGCCTATTTCTTTTATTCTGTAAATATTCTAGTACTACAACACATCATAACAATAGTTTTAACAGGTCTGTCAGTGTAACTATTTTAACCATTCAAGTTGTTTTGAAAATACAGAATGAACATGACAA